CCGCAACCAGTTAAGCAGGGGTTAAAATAAATGGGATATAGTATCGTAAAGGACAAACATTACAAATTTCTTCAAATTTGGAAACCTTGGATTAACTACTCCCTACCATCCCTACATCCAACCAGTTAAGGTCATTTATGATGCGATATCTGAGGCAGTCTTGAGTCAATGGGCAGCTTTCCCCCACTCTCTCTCCTTTCTCCCCATCCTTCTTGCTCTTTTCCCTTTTCTTTCTTTCTTCCTTTTCTCTACAATATGTTTTATGCTGGGATCGCTGGCTCTGGGTGCATTACTGGTTTATGAACACCCTACCATTGGCCTAAGATCCCAAACAGTTAACTGTATATGATTGAGGATATGTTACTGCTACTACTACTTTGTTTGACTAACACTCTTTGTAATTGTGTCGTCCCCCTGTGTGGGTGACCTTGAGCCTATTATGCTTTGAAAATTGAATAAAAACTATTGCACAGAAAAAAAAATGGGGGGGGGGATTAATATCTGTTTAAAGGTAGGTGACCACACTTCCAACATGAGCACTATGTTTGAGGTACAATGTTTGTAGATGAATATTTGGGATAATTATGTACAAACTTATACAAAATGGTAACATACCATTACCGTAACGTATTTTCACACAGAAAAAAAACATTTTTGTACAAAATAGTATTAAAACAGCAGAGAGTTTTTATTTACCAATGAAACTCATCACTGCTGTGTTCTGTCACCCGTAGCTAGGTAATAGTCCAACAAGTGTAATAATCCTGTGCTCCTGTGTGGGACCTTTACTTTAACATTAGAAGGGTTAACAGGTTCTCATTCAGATGGCCAAACATTGGGGGACCTGATCACTGGTCCGACCCATAATGTGCATTCACTATTCAGTGTAGGCCAAGAGATTTTAAAAAACATAGGATATTATTTAGGAACATTGTCTTATCTTTATTCCCCCTTGCCATATCATCAGAAATTAAAAGGATATTGGATAAAAAACCCAACCTGCTCATTCACTAGCAATGCCATTTCCATGTAGCAGTCCAGTCACAATTTCTATTTATGCAGTGCTGCCAATCACAGTTGCAGCCATATTTATGACCTTTGTGTATACTGGAATAGATGGAACTATTCATTTAATAACTGCAATGTGTATGAGAAACATTCTGTATTGTTACTAGTCAGGGACCCTCCAATGGCTGTATAATGCATTGGTAGATTGACATAAGCACCAGGGACACTTATTTTTCTGCCTGACTACCAAAGATTATTATTTCATCATCATAGCACCTCATGGAGTACTTAAAAGGCTATATAGGAATATACTTACCTTTCTTACTATATGTGAATCCTCAGTTGTTTAGAAGATGACATGTTTAAACCTGGTTTGTGTGTAACCTAAAGTTAAACTTTTTCAGAATAATAAAAGATTGTTTTATAACTTACTGTATGTTCTGACTGGTGGACTCTGTACTACTTTGAAAATGTCTCAATAAAACAAGATATTTAAAAAAAAAATGCTATCAAGTTACCTGATTCATGCCCAGTTCAACAGACATGGAAATAATTGGTAACACCACTACTGAATAACTATCTGGAAACATTAAAGAAGTCTCAATAAAGTTTTACTTTCTGGTTTTAGTCTCTAAGATGACTAAGTTATGATGCACCTTTTCTCTTCTTCCTATGTGGTCCTGTTCCCAACATAGCATGATAAACAGCATGGTGCCTTCCCCTCCCCGCTTCATCAAGACCAGTGTCATCACTTTATATGTAGGGGAAGGGGCATGCCAGCTGCAGTGCCTGTAAAAAGAAGCAAAAACAGTAGCTGAGACAGGCATGATCACAACAGAGCTCTGTCTGGTCTCTCCACCCATGCCAATGTGATGGGTAGGGAATGGGGGGGTGTCAGACACAGGTAAGGTAGGTGGGTGCAGCTATGATCTACCACAGCCCTGCAACTGTAACACCCACAAATCTGCAAACTTTATGGGGAGGAGAAGGACATCCATAAAGAAAGAAGTACCTTAGATTGTACGCCCCTTGAAGGTTAGGGACTAATGTGAATGTAATATATATATATATACACATATGTAAAGCACTGCGGAATTTAATGGCTCCATATAAGTACCTGGAATAAATAAATAAGTAATACAAAGGGATTTTCAGCCACAATATAATTGCAGTTTATAGAAAATATAATTCTAGGTGTTTACACAATTTTTCGGGGCTACTTTTTATTTTTAAGGATCATGAGAGTTTTTTATTAGACTGATTTTTATACAGTATGTGGAGGCACACTCTTTAAAAACACATCAATCATCTTTCAATCATGTATTTAAAGCATCATTTTTTTTTTTTAAGTTTTGTAAAGAGTGGAGAGGGATTAGAACACCTGTTAGTTTTTATTGATGTCTGTGTTCCCTTTAGGGAGATTTATGCTCTCTATTTGTCCTGTTTATCATTATCATCAAAAGTGAAAGCAAAAGAAAATCCCACATTTTGGGATGTCCCAGAAAGGTAATAGAGGGAAAATCGCCAATGGGGACACTAGTTCTAGTGACCTGGGGGGTCCCTATAGAATCCCTTTAATTGCAGGGATTTCCTCCCACTTCCTGTTTTGGCTATGAAACAGGAAGTGAAGGGACATCTCCCCAAAGGAACATGGATGGCAAACAAAAAACTGGCAGGGGTTATAACTCTGCTTTACACTGTGCAAAGTGAAAAAAAAGTTTTGCCTATACAGTATTTCTGATTTAAAATAATAAGTTAATGTAAATGAAGACCAATCAGCTTCTTGACTTTCATTTATTGTTTCTAATCATTGCAAGGTGTAATTGTTTATTTTATGTGGTATTTAAAGTTACTTTATAATTTTTTATAAAAATCTATGGTATTGATCTACTAAAGACAAACAGGCCATTGACTTTGAAGTGAATATCCCCTTAGTGAATGAGGTGAATCTCTTCTGACTTCCATCATCCAATCATAGGCAAGGAAAAATACTTTTTTTAATTTTCCTTCCACGAGATTGGATATACATTGTGAATTTTCACCTCATTTACAAAGCTAAGGGGAAATTCTATTGCAAAGTGAACAGCCTATTTGCCTTTAATCAACCCCTAAAACTTCCAAAACAACAAAAGTGTTGCAAATACCATTTATTCAATGCATCAGCATGTTGATAGGTTTTGGTTTACGCCAGCATTCTTCTCTCCTCATGTAAGTCGATGGGAATGTAAAAGTAGCCTAAATTAGGTCAAATGCAGGTTAGAAGGAGGATAACTGCAGGTTAAATGCACCTGTCTATGAATTCTGAATGAGCTCAAACTTATTTTAAATGCATGCAAAATGCATCTGCAGGCAATCTTCATTTGCACATCAACACAGGCCTAAATGATCCCCACTGTAGTTTATTTAACTGAGCCTGGGTAATCTTTATACACTATATTTATTGTACATGACTTCAATATAAAATGTATATTCACAGCAAAACCTAAAAGGTTACCACTCCAACCTAACCTTCGCAGAATGGTGACTTTTCTATAACTATAACATGCTCAGAGTACTATTAACCAAGCATAGACATAAGAGCAGGTATTTGATTTCCATTAATGGACTTATATCTTAATGTACATGGATTTAATCACTACAGTACATCGAGTTACAAACAGTGGATGCTGCAAACAATGACGTGAATTGTCAAGTAGACTTAAGAGCAGTGTGTCTGAAATGTCAGTGAGTGGGATGAACTATTGAACTGGGCAAAAAAAAAGTCCTAAAGAATTTTACTCCCACCTCAAGCAGTGGATGCGGATGGTATTGGCATACAGAAGTATTTATGCGGAGCCAAAATTTCCCTTGCTAAAAGCTTTCAGCTTCTGACTCATAAAAGACATAAACACATATTGAAATGATGGAAATCGCTACACTGCAGTTCGTTAGAGTATATAATAAAATATACACTCTGGTTATTAAGTTCCAGTTTTCCGGAGCAAGTGGGATTGTGTGACCACAAAGGTTAAAATGGTCTACCGACTAGGAACACAGTCATTTCGTGGAGACTCTAATATGTTAAATGGCAGGTAAGTGTAAAGGACAAGCTGCTTTATATCAGGAGCAACAAGTACATGAGTAATGTCACTTAAAGCTAATATATTTAAAGGAAGAAAATCCAAATTAAACCTCCCCCATTATGTTGTCCACTTTCTAGATCTAAGTCTCAGCCCTGGTGAAAATGTTGGTATGTCAAGTATGGGGCCTGCCCCCTCTAACACTCCCACAGTGCAAGACTTGATGCCTAACCAGCCAATTGCCAAGTCCATGTGCTGTTACATGGGGGCTAGAGGTGTGCCCAGAAGAGAACACGGACCAATACTATGGATTAGTGTCTCTGCAGGGGCTGTAGAGCAGATTGGGGTATTGGACAAAATTGGAAAGCATGGCCAATATTAAACTCCACACTAAATGAAATAAATAGACCCTCTGATTCTTCTTCTTAGAAAAATAACCTAGTCCAGTCTATGTAGGTCACGTGTAATGTGACCTGCTTAGGTCAGGACTCTGCGCAGGCCAGTCAAGTTACTCCACCCCAAACTCACTCATCCATTTCTTTATAGACCTTGCTTTGTGCACTGGTGCGCAGCCACGTTGGAAGGTACCATCCCCAAACTGTTCCCACAAAGCTTGGAGCATGACATTGTCCAAAATGTCTTGGTATGCTGATGCCTTAAGAGTTCCCTTCACTGGAACTAAGGGGTCAAGCCCAACCCCTGAAAAAAAACCCACACCATAATCCCCCCTCTACCAAACCTTATACTTTGCACAATACAGTCAGGCAAGTATTGTTCTCTTGGCAACCGCCAATACCAGACACGTCCATTGTATTACCAGACAGAGAAGCGTGATTCATCACTCCAGAGAGGATGTCTCCATTGCTCTAGAGTCCAGTGGTGGCATGCTTTACACGGATGCATCTGATGCCTTGCATTGCACTTGGTGATGTAAGGCTTAGATGCAGCTGCTCGACCATGGAAACCCATTCCATGAAGCTCTCTATGCACTGTTGTTGTGTTAATCTGAAGGTCACATGAAGTTTTAAGGTCTTTAGCTATTGACACTGCAGACAGTTGGAGACTTCTGCACACTGTGCGCTTCAGCAATAATAATCAGCTTCTAACTTCAGCTTGTTCAATTAGGCTTGGGGCAATAAAACCTGGTTGGTTTCGGTGCAGAAGTGAGCCTGATTTTGCACTTTCCAGCCTTAGTAAATTAACCCCTGTGTGTTTTGTCACTATATAAATAGTGGAACAGCTGTAGCTGGAAGACTTTTTTATCTTTAGACCCTACGTGTTTTCAAGGAATATTATTTGGACACTTATTTATGGATTTGCACTGTTTATATGGGTGCTCCTGTATGTGAGGGGATTTAAAGTGCCATTTAAAGGAAATCTCCATGCTTCTACCAAAATATAGTATACTACAAAAGGACAGCAGTATGGTCTTGTACTGTGTTGAAAAGAAGATTACTTTTTTCACTGTCTGTTTTTTCTTCCTCTGAAGCTCTAAAAAAAAAAATATAAATAATATATATATATATACACTATATTGCCATAAGTATGGACACCCTCCAAAGCATTGGATTCAGGTGTTTCAATCAGCTCCATGGCCACATGTGTATAAAATCAAGCACCTAGGCGTGCAGACTGCGTCTACAAACATTTGTGAAAGAATGGGTCGCTGTCAGGAGCTCAGTGATTTCAAGCGTTGCCACCTGTGCAATAAGTCCATAATCCCCCCTCCACCAAACACTTAGCAAAATGCAGTCAGGCAAGTACCGTTCTCTTGGCAACTGCCAAACCCAGACACATCTATTGGATTGCCAGAGAGAGAAGTGTGATTTATCACTCCAGAGAACACAACTCCTTTGCTCTAGTGTCCAGTGGCGACATGCTTTACACCACTGTATTTGACACTTTGCTTTGCCCTTGGTGATGTAAGGCTTGGATGCAGCTGCTAGGACATGGAAGCCCATTTCATGAAGCTCTCTGCACACTGTTGTTGTTGTTGTGCTAATCTGAAGGCCACATGAAGTTTGGAGGTATTTAGTTAGTGACTCTGCAGACAGTTGGCGACGTCTGTGCACTGTGCGCTTCAGCATGCGCTGACTCTGCTCTGTCATTTTACGTGGCCTACCACTTCGTGGCTGAGTTGCTGTTGTTCCCAGTTGCTTCCACTTTGTTATAATACCACGAACAGCTGACCTTGGAATATTTAGTAGCCAGGAAATGTCACGGATGGACTTATTGCACAGGTGACAACCTATCACGGTACCACGCTTGAATTCACTGAGCTCCTGAGAGCGAATCATTCTTTCACAAATGTTTGTAGAAGCAGTCTGCATGCCTAGGTGATGATTGTATACACCTGTGGCCATGGAGGTGATTGGAACACCTGAATCCAATGATTTGGAAGGGTGTCCCAATACATTTGGCATTATAGGGTATATGGAACTACTGCAGCATCCAACTCCTGGCACCTAAGCCTGGGGGAGAGAGACAACTCACATCACCATTCTCCTTAGGCCGAAGCTCAACAAGACTGAACCGCATGGTAGATGGTACTAGACAGTAATCACCTCTCCAGCTTACACCACCAAGCCCAGATATGTGTTTGCTGTGCAGGACTCATCCCAAAATACTGCTTTAGTATGAAGATTAAAGTGTTTGTTCACCTTTACAGGAAAACTGTAAAGGTGACATAGCACTGGAATTCCTCCCCATCTCCCAAGTCCCCGCAATACTTACTGCCCGCAATCCTCAGCTGTCAGCGCTTCCACAACTGCTCCACTGTTCCAGGAATTTAAATTCCCCACTGATTTCTCTCTTCTCTGTCCTGTGCTTTCGGGACAGACCAGATGGAATCTAATCACAATCCATCTGGTGTGTCCTGGCACACAGGATGGAAAAGAAAGAGAGCCCTGTGGATTTTAAATTCCCAGACTGGTGGGGAGGGTGCGGGAGCCCTGACAGCTGAGGATTTTGGGTGGTAAGTACAATGGGGACCAGGGGGGGTGGGGAGGGGTCCAGTGTTAGGTCACCTTTACAGTTTTTCCCTAAAAGTGAACTAACACTTTAAGGGTTTCACACTGCCCACATGCTAAGCACTCCGTTTTAGCATGCGGGCAGCTACACTTTTTGGATGCAGTGTGCCATGCTGAGGGGGCGGTACAATGCTTGTTTCAGAGCATCAGACTGTTTACTGGTTTTTTTTTAAAACTTTATTTGAAGAGCACTTTTCTGTGGTTTGCACTTCCCTCTTCACCCAGGTTGGACCCCTCTTTGATCTGTAGAACAGAGGAAGATTTCTCCAAAACCAAGAACAATCAACACAAGGGGCACATTATACTAAATGCAAGTTATGTCCCATGTGCTGATTTTTATATTTTTGTGTTTTTAGCTAATTGTACGTTTTAAATTGTTAGCCACTTATATAAGGGCTATAAGGGGAGATAGGAGACGTGTTAATGTCTGAACAGCACATAAAAAAAAAAAAAAAAGCTTGCAAAAAAAAAGCAAAACAAAACAAATGCAGCCACCAAATCCAATGATTTGTAAGCTGCAATATATAAAATTTTATTTTGGGGTTTAGCTATGTTTTAGGCACTTTTCCTTTGAATACTAAACCATATTACAGTGCATGACAACCCTGGAAAAAGTGCAGACTTGCATTTGTATTTTGTTCATTCCCTTCTCTCTAGCATGTGCAGGTACTCCCACTCTGTGCAGAGGAAGATAGGAATGTAAACAATTACAACTCTAACATAGCATTGTTACAGTTTGAAGTGGTGTTAAAATCCATGTTTTTTTCCCTAAATCAGACAAAAATAACCTAACTCAATTGCATTTGTTTTTTTTTGTTTTTTTTTTATTCCTGGGAGCTAAAGGATAAGTTCAGCTTTATAAAAAAAAAATAATAAATGAATATCTTTTGCAGGTAAAATATGTATACCTATTATTTTTCTTATCAGATGCCTGTAAAGCAGTGCACCTGTGATCTTCATATCAGATAGTGGGTGCAATCTCAGCTGCCCTTGGTGCAACAGTTTTTTGTGTTAAGGGGTGGCAGTGGGGGAACTTTGAGGGGAAAAGATTTGTACTGGGAGGGGGATTTGTGCAGGGAGGGGGGATTTCAGAATGGCGAGGTGATTTGTACTATCAGTAGATGGATTTTTTTTGTTTGGGAAGAATTTTGGCTTGCAGGGGAATTTATGCTGGGGCAAGGGGGGGTGAGCGTGCAGATTAGTGTGCAACTTGTTTTGGAGGAGGGGGAATTTTTGCAGATACATGATGCTCATGCATCATGGAGAAGGGGGGGGGGGGCACAATATGGCATCTTTTCCCAGTGCTGCAAGGGGCACAGAGAGAATGAGAATATAGTGTTGCAGCCAAAGGACAATTAGAAAAGGAAAGCTTCAAGGGGGACTTTTAAAAAATGATATGTTGCAAATGTGTTATATTATTTTTATCTGAGATAGGAAAAAGATTTTTGACTGTAACCCCTTGACACCGACGTAACACAAATATGCGGCCTCACAGAACTGGGCTTTTTTCTGTAGGGCTGCATATTTGCGTACCTGTCTTTCTGCTGGGAGCACACCACATTGCGTACTCCCAGCACAAAGACCGCGGTATCACTAAGATCCCCGAGTCCCGATCGTTACATGATCCGGGTCACATGATCACTGTGAGAGGCTCTGATTGGCTATCACAGTGATCAGTCACTGTACAGCCCCGCCCCCTTGTTTTTTTTCTCTCTATGAATGGAGGAGAGAGATATATTGTATCTCTCTAACTCCTGGCATAGAGGAAAAAAAATGTTTGGTAGAAAAAAAAAAAAAGATAAATAAAAAATAAAAGAAATAAATATTTAAAAAAAGAAAGAAAGAAAAAATACCTAGATCAAGGTTTGATCTAGTTCATTGCCAGGGAAAGTGTTTGGGTCAAGGGTCAAAGGTCTAGGTCAAAAGGCCAGGATTTTTTTTCTTAGTTGGTATTAGTGTAAGTTAGTGTGTTTTAGGTATAAAAAACAAAAAAAAACAAAATGCGCACTATTGTTTCTGGGCTGTACTACGGGTACAAATAAGAAATAACATACACATATATGGTATTGCAGTGATCGTATTATTTTGGGTTGTTTTTCGGTGGTAGGTTGTGGTAGTAACAAGAAACACACAGGTAAATTAAAAAACATTTTTTTTTTACTATTCTGGGCCAGTTTTCCTTTGATAATAAAAAAAAATCAGCAGATATCCATTACCATTTACCACAAAATGAAAGCCCAATTTGTCCTGAAAAAAACATCACCTGGATGTACAAAGTAGTTGGGATGATATGTACGGTTTTACTAACACATGTCAAGATTGCAAAATTGTGCTTAGGCATTAAGATTTGTTTTACCCTTAGGTGTGAAGGGGTTAAATACCACGTTAAGCTCTTCTAGCATTTTAGTGAATGTATGAGGCAAATGCAGTTTCTTTTGGAGTTCTTCTTTAATTCTAAAATTTATATATGGTAATTGCAGTCAATGTGCCAACGCTTCCATGTGTGACAGCTTGACATTTATACTGTAATGCTGCCTCTTTGCCTAAATGTTATAACAGTAAAATATCACAAGGATTCCAAGATAGGAATAATAACCTAGTTATTAATTTGTGAAATGGGGGAGAGGCAGTCTTGCAGAAAATGATATGTAATTCTGTATTATAACAGCAGATATTTTTGCTGATTCTCTGTAAAAACATTTTCGTGCAGCTCCTGTATTGGAATTCAAGGAAAACTGCTGCACGTCTAAAATATTTATTAAAGCTCTCTCATGAGTTATTCATAAACATTTTTTACTCTCCATCTTATGTCAAGCACTTTACATCTTATATTGAAGTTCAGCCGAGCAAAAGATGATCATTATGAGCACTGGAAGTAATTTCGATTGGTGAAACAGCCATGTATTAAACTTCAGTAAAAGCACAAGAATATATTATGTTATGTTGAGTTCCATAACATTCTGCAGGAAAGGAGAAAGTGACTTTTTATTTAAGACATTTACAAAAAATGGAAAAATATTGAAAAAAGGAAGAAAAACTTCCAGTAACCCAAAGCAGCCAATTATATTCTGTAGTTTATTTTCTAGTGCAGGTTAGGAAGTGAAAATAAATAATCTGATTGAGCTAATTGGGCAAAACACAGGTACACTTTGAGCCATACCACATATACAGCATAGGCTGGGTTCACACTTCCTCAACCCTGTGTCTTAATGCGCAGTTTTATTTTGCACTGCCATACACAAGACATGCACATTTTTTGTCAATGCACCGCACCAATATGCACAGTAATGCTTTACTTTGCCTTTTGGAGTGCTGCAGCACATGCGTTGTAGCTATATTGCCCTAAAAATATTACTACACCCCAGACCCTGCATTTACTATATCTGGTCTCCCACAGTACACAGAACATGGAAGTGCAATTATTTTAGTAAATATAAACCTTTTCGTAACACCAGTTAGAGTAGTCTTGTTACTTCTCTGAGTGTCCAGCCGAGCACAAGGAGGAGTTTTCATTCTGCTCTAGGAGGATGCAGGACCCCTGGCCTCTGTCTGGACAGTGCTGTTTGGCCCTGTGCTGATCACATGCACTTTCCCAAGAAAAGAAAAAACCTCTTTAGCATTACACACCAAAATGAGAATGTGCACAGTGACTCCACACAATATGTCTTATCAGGAGATAAGAGGGGGGCACTGGAAGAAGAGGAGGATCAGAGAAGACAGGATCAAACTGCATTTTTACACAATGCAGAGGATTAACCCCTGAGGTTCCACAGTGAGTATAACAAGCATGCTTTACTGCATATACAGAATGATTTTACTGTTGTGGGTTTAGTAATACTTTAATGTATTGGGATCAGGGCAGACTGACCATTTGGAAACTCGGGCACTGCCCGAGGGCCCAGGGTCAGTAGGGGGCCCCATGAAATGCCCCTTGTACCTTTTTCATAGGCTTTTTTTAGTTTGGGCAAGGACACAGGGGCCCCATGATCCCCTTTTGCCTGGGGTCCCCATGAGTTGTCAGTCCGTCCCTGATTGGGATGCTATTCAAAATTAATTGCATGACAGAGCATAATGTATGTAATGTGCATTAACGCGCTTTTCATTAGCGCTCACGTTACTACACTGCACAACAGTGGAAAAGTGTGACCTAAGACTGTGGGCGGGGTCACTTACCCTGCATGTGGGGTACCTTTTGCCGTTCACACACTCACCAAAGCCCAGGACCAGGTGGGGACCATGTCCATGTGAAAGTCAAACATTATGGCAGTTGCCTTAGGGCTCATGTACACGGGGTGTTTGAA